CCTGGAGAGATTCTGCTAGCAGACATAATGGCAAATTATTGGAGTGTGTAACAGGGCCAAATAATATTAATGAGAAAGTAGAGACTCCTCTCCTTACACAAATAAAAAGTGCTCTAAAGGCTGGGACATTGGTAATAATAGGAGATTAAATCTACGCTGAATTGACTGATGTAATGAAACTACTGGTATAGCAAAAGGACAGAATAATATAAACCTATATTGGGAAAATTTTATCAGTCACCTGAACTGTGTTGAGAGATTCCTTCAACTTCAATTTCAGTGGCAACTTTAACAATTTGACTTGAAACCACTTTCTCTTCTGGAGAAAATGGACACCATAAATGGTAATGTTTTCAACCATTTATTTGCATAGGCCATAAAAGACCAGAATTAAAATTTAAGAAACTTGAGGGGAAAAAAAATAAAAGGGCCACTTACACCTATTAAATATCTTCTTTAAATTTGTGTATGGTGCTGGTACAACAAAGAGATGAAACTGACCATTGCAAATGCACCACAATGACAACGGTGATATGGTCTAGAAACAATTGGACAAAATAGATGTAACTAAAGCACCAAGGCCATATGGCTTACACCCACAAGACTTAAGAGCTGAGCTCAGTTAGACTCAAGTTTCTTAAATGCTATATGCATTTTTCATGGGTGTTTGGAGGGCATGCCAATGCAATTCCATTGGAGTGTTTGTCAAGCCTTGCAACCAGCATTGTCTGGTAAACGGTGCAAAACGTTTTTTTTATGCAAAGTGACACAAATGCCCACCATGTACTCTTGTTTATAGTACATCACTAAAACAATGATAGAAAGGGTGGGAGGAGTAGGACTGCTCCTGAAGCTAGAAAACTGCTAAAATGCTTTCTCTTGGAGAAGGTAAGCTTGGCCTTAAGGGCCAGGAAGGTGTGCAGATAAAGATTTGGAATTTACCAGTTGCATATTTGTTCAGGAACAGTGACAATGAAAGCAATGACATCAGATAAGGCAGCCAGGCAACTAGGATTTTCAGTAGGTGATTAGCAACGGCAGCAATCATTTTGTGTAACGTAAGGTTTCCTTTAGGCTTGATTCACACTACGACCATTGCATTAGGCATTCATTGATGCAGATTAATTGCATACGAGTTGACTTTTTTTTTTTGTAACCTTACCTGTGATCATATCACAAATCAAGGTCTGAACCATGCAAGAAAATACTAATTATATACCATACAACTAAACGGAGCTTTTAAGGTGTCATCTAAGGAATGCAAAGGGTTATAACTGACCATATAATAACACATAGGTCGCATATGGTATAATTTATTAAGATAACCACTTAAAAAAATACATATAAAAGACAGATAAAAACATAATAAAATTATTTAAAATGGTTTTAGTATCAATTTCCTTATGACCATATACTTTACAGTGTCATCAAAAATCATAAACATTAACCAGCCATTTTTCAGTATTCAGCGCTTTCTTTTGGTGGTATTTAATAATCACTGGGGTTTTATTTTTTACTATATAATGGAAAAAGTTCAGAAAATTTTGAAAAAAAAACAAAACGTTATGTTATAAAACATTTATCAGCATCCAAATTTTTGGTAAAATATAAAATACTGGGTCATGTTGGGTAAATAGACACCAAACATGTCAAGCTATAAAATTGCATGTGCCCGCGAAATCTCAAAAAACTACCATGGCTAAAATTGTCCATAGGCAATGCTTTAAAAGCTTTTCTTCATCAATTTAGTGTTATCAGTGATTGATGGTCCTAAAAGTTTTACATATCACTCAGACGCTCCTGGCGATATGCAACATTGTGGCGTAATGGTTGTGTTTGCACGTAGGCGCACCCGACGCATATTTATGTTTATAAGTGCGTGGGGGTGGGGGACTCAAAACTTTTTTGGGTGTTTTTTTTTCATGTGGGAATTAAATTTTTTTTTTTTTACACTTAACTTGATTGCCATCACATAGGTGGCTAACAAGGCGCCTCTGTGAAAGCCAATATACACTGACAGGTTTCTTTATGTAGACATCAGGGGTCTCCAAGACTCCTAATGTCACCTGGGGGCCCCCAAAGAAGCTGGTGAAGCAGAGATCTTCTCTGGCTCTTAGCTAGAGAAATGACAGCTAAAGACGGAAGTGATGCAATATACGTCTCCTTTAGAGAGAGAAGGAGGAGAGATAAGCGGTGGTGAAAAATGCTGATCTCTCCTCCTTCACAGCAGTCGCTGTGCCGGGCTCGCAAGAGGGACAGCGGAGCTCGGGATAACCGACAGGGATGGGGGAGCGTGGCAGCACAGGGGGGACCGCATTGCACATTCATACAAGCGATCAGCTGGCTGTAGAGCCGGCTGAATATGCTTGTGGGGTCCTGTTGACGCATACCCACTAGGGGGCGCATGCAACCAGGAAATCATGTAAATGTACGTCCACCCGCTGGGGAGCATCCCTTTATTTTACAATGGGTGGACGGCAAGGGGTTATATCATATTTGATTCTGTACTGGGTCCAGCCTTCTACACGTTTCACCGAAGCTTCATCAGGAAGATTGGAGGTAGCCTATGATGTTCACATGGACATGAGAATAAGTAAATACACCAATAGTTACATATTCAATAAACTCCACTAACTAAATAATGAAGATTCAAATAAACAATCACAACACAGAGTAAATACATAGATACCATTTTCTAAGATTTTAGTTCTCCATCCTCTGTTTCCTGGTTCTAGAGACTCCCTGGATATGTGGATCTAGTCGCCACTAAAATCTCAGAAAATGGTATCTGTGCATTTACTCTGAATCTGATTTTTGATGAAACTGTAAAGTATATTGTCATAAGGAAATTGATACTAAAACAGTGTATTGAGTTGAAAATATGTATATGAATGTATCAGTACGGGTTCCAGGGAGGTTTTATGCCGTGGTATACCCATTATTGTCATGAAGGGAGCCGTTATTTATGTTTTTAAGATGACTGGACGGTTTGTTTTTACTTGGATGTCTTACATTTTTAAAGTGGTTGTGATCTTAATAAATTTTACTGTATTCGACCTATGTGGTTAGTTATGTCCCTTTGCATTCCTTAGATGACACCTTAAAATCTCGTTTAGTTTTGTTTGGTGTATATTTAAAATACAGGGGTGTGGTGTCCCTGTTTCTGTGGTGATTCTAAATATTTTGTACAGCAAAATACAAAAAGGTAAACCAGGGGAATTTTGCAACTAAACCACAAACTGTGGCCTGAAGAAAAACTCTTGGCTACAACAGCTGAAGGTACTTTTGGACAAAATGGGGAAAGCATTAGAAGAGAACACCTCGCAAACTGTCAAGTATGCGGATTAGGTGTATTACAGTTCAGGGTTGTCTGGCAGTAAACAGCACAGAAAATATATGAGTGGGTGAATGCAAGAATGGATTTTAAGGATTATTGAAATAATGAAAGCTAATTTCTTAGTCCCTTGAAAAAGGTTGGACATGCCAACATAGCAATGATCCAAAAGGCACCCCTAAATTAACCATTAAAGTGTATCTAAAGCCAAAACCTTTTTTTTTTTTATATAGTAGGGGAGGGTTAGAACCCAACAGGTTTTTATTGCCATCTGTGTCCCAGTTAGGAAAGCAGATCCCATTTGGCTTGGTGCCCACTTTTACCAGAACTAAGAGTAATGTATTACTTTGTGTTGCCACCAGAACAGGAATACAGTTAAATCTTCCAATGTGGACACCTGTCTACGTGTAGGATTTCCCTCATTTGGTGTGAATTTACTCCCACTTCATTTTGTGTCTACAGAAGAGGAAGTAAATTCGATATCTCCAGTGGAATACAGATGTTAAAAAAGAACCTGATGGGTTTTAACTCTTCCACATTTATATATAGATAGATAGATATAGATATATCTATAT